GCAGTCTGCCACCAGGGCAGCTGGCATCAGATTGCAGGATTAGCTGATACTGGATTCTCTAGGAGGTGGAGCCTAAAGGGGTGGATCATAAAGTATGCACCACCAGGCACCATGAAGGTGATTCAGCATCACCCATTAGTGCTGGAAGAAAATTTCTTTGGTCTTGGCATCGAGCCAAGTGATCATGATGATGAAAATGATGAAAATGAATCTGAATCAGAACCAATGAGTTCAGATGAGGATTTATATTTAGATTCTGACCTGTTCTGATCAGCTTTTGGTCAAAAAGAATTGGTTGGTGATAAGTTGGATTTAGTATTCATGTCATGGATTTAGTATTTGGCCAGATAATGAGTTTATATCATTGGAAGATTACCCCAAATAAAGCTAGCTTTATTCAGGGTCAGACTCTAATTAGTGCTAAGGCACCTCATGGGGGGTACCCTTGGTGAGTTGATTTGGGGTTGATTTTGGAGAAGTTTAAGTAAAGGTTTTGAATAGAAAGATCATCCATGATTTTTGAAATTTTCCAACTATTCAGGCAAGCTCTAATCATCAGTGTATATCATTGTAAGATTACCCCAAATAAAGCTAATGAAGCACAAGATCAGGGATATCCAATCCAGCAGCACTTAGCTCTATTCAAGGTCAACCATTTTTTGGGGTATCAGCCAGCAGCATCCCATGCCCAGGAGGGAATTCAGAAAGATGAAGAGGCAGCATCTCCAGCAAATGGAGGGGTTGAGGACAGGATGGCCAGGGGAAGGGGGCAGATCAGTAGCTTTATTCAGGGTCAGACTCTAATCAGTGCCAAGGCACTTCATGGGGGTTACCCTTGGTGAGTTGATTTGGGGTTGATTTTGGAGAAGTTTAAGTAAAGGTTTTGAATAGAAATATTGTCCATCATTTTTGAAAATTTCTTGCTATCAAGGTAAGTTCTAATCATCAAGTTATATCATTGGAAGATTACCCCAAATAAAGCTAGCTTTATTCAGGGTCAGACTCTAATTAGTGCCAAGGCACCTCATGGGGGGTACCCTTGGTGAGTTGATTTGGGGTTGATTTTGGATAAGTTTAAGTAAAGGTTTTGAATAGAAATATTGTCCATCATTTTTGAAAATTTCCTGCTATCAAGGTAAGTTCTAATCATCAAGTTATATCATTGGAAGCTTACCCCAAATAAAGCTAGCTTTATTCAGGGTCACACTCTAATTAGTGCTAAGGCACTTCATGGGGGGTACCCTTGCTGAGTTGATTTGGGGTTGATTTTGGAGAAGTTTAAGTAAAGGTTTTGAATAGAAAGATCATCCATCATTTTTGAAAATTTCCAACTAATTATCAAGGTAAGTTCTAATCATCAAGTTATATCATTGGAAGATTACCCCAATTATATTTAGCTTTATTCAGGGTCAGACTCTAATTAGTGCTAAGGCACCTCATGGGGGGTACCCTTGATGAGTTGATTTGGGGTTGATTTTGGAGAAATTTAAGTAAAGGTTTTGAATAGAAAGATCACCCATCATTTTTTAAAATTTCCAACTATCAAGGAAAGCTCTAATCATAATCTAAATCATTGGAAACTTACCCCAAATAAAGCTAATGAACCACAAGATCAGGGAATGCCAATCCAGCAACACTTAGCTCTATTCAAGGTCAAACATTGTTTGGGGGATCAGCCAGCAGCATCCCATGCCCAGGAGGGAATTCAGAAAGATGAAGAGAAAGCATCTCCAGCAAATGGAGAGGATGAGGACAGGATGATCAGGGGAAGGGGGCAGCTCAGTAACTTTAATCAGGGTCAGACTCTAATTAGTGCTAAGGCATCTCATGGGGGGTACCCTTGATGAGTTGATTTGGGGTTGGTTTTGGATAAGTTTGAATAAAGGTTTTGATTAGAAAGATTATCCATTATTTTGAAAATTTCCAGCTATCAAGGTAAGTTCTAATGAGCTGGCACTATCACTGTAACAAATTGGAAGCTTACCTCAAATAAAGCTAATGAAGCACAAGATCAGGGATTGCTAGGCCTTAACTTTATTCAAGGCCCAGCCTTATTTGGGGATAAAGCACTGGAGCTATTTCAATCAGCCAGCACCCTGCTGCAGCAAGGACATATTGCAAGAGCCAAGATGGAGGCAGCTCAGATTTTGCGTGATGCAGAGCAGAAGGCAAAAGCATTGTCAGTTTCAAAGAAAATTGTCAAGAAGCCTTCAGATCAGTTCAAGACACCAGACAGACCAACATCCAGCGTAGTTTCACCAGTTTCAGAATCATCATCCAAACAACCAAAGCAATATGGTTTGGTGAAATTTTTTGGCACAGCCAAGCAGAAAGAGGAAGCCAGCCCCATCCTAGCAGAGAAAGAAATCAAGGTATCTCCAAGAGTACAGCAATCAAAGGCAATGAAAGATTTGATGAAGGCAAAAGAAGAATATGAGAAATTTTTGGAAGCACAGCAGCTTGAGAATGCAGTGGATGAGACAGATGACTATATCAGAAAAAAACAATCAAGAGGAGGCAGAAAAAAAGAGAGTGATCCAGGCAGCACTTTGACCAGATATTCCAACAGGACGAAAGAGGGAGCAAAGAGAAGAAGGACTGAGTTTGGAGCATATGAGAAGATGAAGGTGTGTGATGACATTGAGCAGCAAAGACAGTCCTTTTCAAAGGAAGATGAGCTCTGGGCCCATATGAGAAAAGTATATGGAGTTACAGTTCAAAGGCTGAAAGATATCTATGCCAAGAGGGAGCAATGGATCAAGCTTGTCAAAATCAACAATCTAGGTGCCAATAGAGGAGGAAAGAAAGGGAAGAAGAGAAAAGCCAAAAATGCAAAGATAAGATCTGCTGGAGGTGGGAGAAAAAGAGAGTATCAGCAGCAGATCAGCAAGCTGAAGGGATGGCTCCAGCAAGAAAGGTCATTTGGCCACAACATCTCAAAAAGAGAGTTGTTAGCAGAATTCTGCTGCTACTTGGTTCAGCATGCCAAAGATCTTCTGAGCCAAGCTGATCAGATGGCAGCATCAGACAGCCCTTTGATGCAGGCCAAGGTGAAGCTGATGAGAAAGGAAGCAGATGCAGCAATGATCAGGAAGAAGAAGTTGATGGATGGGAACACTTCCTATGGCAGGAACTATACAGACAAGCTTATAGAGTGGATAGGAGCATCCTACATGCAGAAGGAGCTGTCACATAAGCTGTCTGCCATTGAGTCAAAAGCCAGGGCCCAGCTGACATATCAAGGCATTGACAGGATCATCTGGTTGATGGGAGCAGCTGATGAGGCAGCTTTGCAGGAATCAGGGTTGGTTTCCAATCCAGCAGAAGTGATTGAGGCAAGGAAGAACCTTTGCATCACTATGTCTGATCAAGTTCCCATTTGGGGCAAAGCTGTGAGTCAGAAGATCATTTTTGCAGAGCATGAGCTGGCAGGATGCAGGTACCAAGATGCAAAGAATTTCAGCGAGATCAGGGATGAGATTGCAGCAGTTCAAGAAAAAGTGAAAAACAATGCAGTGCAGATCATCACAGCTTCTGGTGATGCAGGCTTGAAAAAAGTTGCAGGCATGAAGACAATGTCAGCAAACAGCTATGATGAGAAGTACAGGCTGACATATGAAGCCAGACAGAAGATCTACAACATTGTTGGTGAAGGCCCCTTGACAGGGGAAGTTGCCAAAGGCTTGCTTGTCTTTGGAGGACAGCATGCAAGATTGAGCAATGTAGATGAGCATTGCAAGTGGATAGAGACAGAGGAGTTCCTGATTGGAGACAATCAGGTGAAGCATGAGGCAGGCCAAGTCTGCAAAGTCATGAAGCCCTTTGTGAAGCTCAGGAATGAGTTTCCAGGCCTCTTTGAGAAGATCTCCATCATGACCCAGCCAGCAAGCAACTGTGATGGAGTGTTGATGAAGTGGATTGCAATGGAGCAAGCCATGCAGGAGCCAGCAGGAATAGCAATCAAAGACTCATTTGCTGCAAATTTTGCAGCTGAGACAGCACAGGCAGAGCACATTTGCAACATAGCATCAGCTCACATCTTAGGCCACATGACTGCCCAGTTGCAAGTCACAGACACAGACTTTGCACGAGCTTTTAAGCACAAGTTCAAGCATGAGTTGGATGATATGAGGAGGGATTACAAGAAGGAGAAAGGCACTGAGAAGGGATTCAGCATTGGCCATGAGCAAATCATCAAAGCAGCAGTATCCAGCCAAGACTACATGGAGGCACTGAATGAGAAGAACAATTGGGTGGTGGAGGCAGCCATCAGAAATGGTTTAGTGGCATACAGGTGCAGCCCATCAGGTGAGTTGAAGAAGATCACAGATGAGGAGTGGGCATGCAAGATGGGAACCAAGAGGATCCCATCAGACTGGCTGGAGCCAAGGTACTCATGGCTGCAGGATGGAGTTCCATCAATACCAGATTTCAGCCTGAGTCGAGATGCATCATGCATCACAGACCTCATCAGCTGGAGCAATGATCATCCAGTTCAGGCTGGAGAGGAGGAAGAGCATCAAGTCCCAGCAGGAGATGAGAAGGAACATGCAGAGAAGGAGCATGAAAGCAAGCATGAGATGGAGGCAGCAAAGGAGAAGTCAGAAGTTGATTTCACAGACATCAGCGATGAGCTCCTTCTGCCATGCAACAACAGCTTGTTTTTTTCATTGAGCCCTTCATTGAGAAGAGACTTCTATAGAAGGAATATGTTGGATGAGACATTTGGCAGCCTTGTGCTTAAGAATGCAAAGGCCAGAGAAGAGATGAAAAAGAGAAGTTTAGTGAGATCAGCTGCAAGGAGATGGTTGAGCAAGAAGCTGCTGTCCTCCATGAGCAAGTAAGAAGCATTAGGCCAAATCAAGGCCAGAAGCAGCAACAAGAAAAGGATTGGCAAGAGACTGTTGAAGAAGAGCATCAAAGAAAAACCATCAGCAAAGACAAAAGCGAGTTTGAAGAATAAACCATCAGCAAAGGCCAAGCTTGTGAAGAAGAACAGCATGAAGAAAGTTGGTGATGGAGTTGGTAAAAAGCTGCTGGCCAGCATGAAGAAAGACATGCAGCTTGCAGAGCATGCAGGTGAAGAGAAGCCACCATTGCCACCACCATCAGAACATCCTTTGATGGGCCTAGAGGTCAGAATCACAGATGAGCAGGCTGGGCCCAAATCTTTTGGAAAGACAGGGACATTGAGCAGCATCAATGAGCACAAGGCCACTGTCTTCACAGCCAGTGGCACCATCAGCTGTGACAGAAACTACATTGAGGAAGAAAGGGCAGAGTGGAAGAAGCCAGTGCAACAGAAGCAGTTCAACTCCTTGAGCAGAGCAGTGATGCAGAAGATTTTGGATGCCATGGCTTGTTTCCCCCAGGCCTTTGTCGAGTACTCATTGCAGCTGCAGCCCATTGGAGCAGATGGGTATCTAGAAGATGAGCATTTAGTTGCAGCTTGGGAGTGGGTGAGATACAGCTTGAAGATTCCAGATGAGGTGCAGATGCTGGATCCAGCTTTGGTAGCCAGATTGAGCACCACTTTGCTCAGTGAGGATGAGGAGACATTTCAGCATCTCCAGGCAAGCATTTTGAGTTTTGCATCAGGTGTGGAGATGCTCCTTTGCCCAATCCAGGGCCATAGTCCTGCACATTGGACATTGCTGGTGAAGGATTCATCAGGCTGGAGATACTATGAGACTTTGAGCAGCTTGCACAAAGAGTGCCATCAGAGAGCAGTTGCTTTGATCAGCTTGTTTGATTCAGTGGAGAAAGATCAAGTCCAGCTCCAGCGATGCAATCACATCAAGCAAAAAAATGCAGATTGTGGCTTTTTTGTCATTGCTTACATGGAGCAGGAGGCATGCAGAAGCACATCAGGTCCAGCCAGCAGAGGCTGGCCAGACCAGCTGCAGAGTGATTGGAAGATCAAGGTGCAGAAGCTTCAGAAGGCATTGCAGGCAGAGTTTGATAAGCTGATGAAGGCCAAGCATGAGGCTGAGAAACAAGCAGCATCTTTGAAAAAAAAGCAGGAAGATGCACATACCAAAGCATCAGAGAGACTGAAGAAGTTGAAAGATCACAAAAGTGCAGCAGCATTAGATGCCATAGCCAACATGACAAAGAATTCCCAGTTTTTCAGAGTCAAGGATTTATCAGACCATGCAGTTTATCAGATTCAGCGTGCAGATGAGAAGCTGACAAAATGTGGAAGCTGCAGGTATCAAACTGGTTGCTTGAGGTGTGATGCAGCCAAAGCCCTCAGCTACCACATCAGAAATGAAGCTCAGAAGGCCAATAAAGTGCCAAAGTGGGAAGGACCAGGGCTGAAGGGGATGGTGCGTTTTTCTGCATGTTTTTTTCTGAATTTTTGGTGCTAGGAGGGATGTTGTTGGTTGTTGTGGTGGTGGTGGTGGTGGTGGTTGTGGTGGTGGTGCTGCTGCTGCTTGCTCAAGTGGAAGCATCAGGAGAAGAGAAGGAAGAGGACTAAATCAGATAAGCACCCAGGTGACACATGAAAGCCACCTCAAATAAAGCATGGACATTTTTTGTTCAGCCCCATCTGGGCAAATCTGGGTTTATGGACATTTTTTTCAGCCCCATCTGGGCAAATCTGGGTTTATGGACATTTTTTTCAGCCCCATCTGGGCAAATCTGGAGAAATCTGGGTTTATGGACAATTTTTTTTCAGCCCCATCTGGGCAAATCTGGGTTTAGGGCCAAAAAAGTTTAGCTTTATTTAGGGGGCATTTAATATTTATTTTGGGAAAAATTTAGCTTTATTCAGGGGGCATTGACAAATCATAGGTCAACATTATGGAATCTATGGGTTTGGTTGTCATCCTGTACGGCCACTGAAGCAGCGGTTTCTGGGGGAGGGGATTGCTTGAAGGTGCGTGTCACTTTGTAAACAGATTGTTAATTATGGTGATGACCCATATACACATTATATATATAGTTTGTGTTTGTAATTATATACGTATATATGTATGGAGGTTTCCTAAAATGGAGGTACCCCCCAAAATCATCAAGGTCAGACCATTTCAGCATTGAAACCCATGGTGACTTGAGGGTACCCGTATTTTAGGACAACCAGTGACTTGGCGAGTTGCATCGTAGACAATGCGAAGTTGCTTCTTCGATTGGGACTCCCCTCGGGGCACGTGGAACATGTCGAACAACGCAGCGGAAAGGCCTCAACAAGTATCCCAGCTATCCCATATACCCATGGGTGATCATCATTTTCCCTCATTGAAATATGAGGATTTTGGGGTCAATTTGGGGTCAATGTCCAATTCTCCAGGCCCCACCTGGCACAGCGGGGATTTGCCAGATCGTTGATCCAAGTGACACAAACAGACAGCTGCAATGCACCAAAGAACGATCCATCCAAGCATTGCAAGTCCAAAGACCTCCGCCCGTTGGCCACGGACCCGGACATGGCCATGGCGACATTTTTTTCCCCGTTCACTGGGAAAATCCATGGAAGATCCATGAATCTTCCGAGTCAAGGATTGGAATGAAGGATCTTCTGCCAGATGACTTCTCATCTTATGAAGGCAACCGATCAAAATGATGGATTCAATGGCACCAAGGCTCACCAAGGCTTTGAGGCTCCGGACCTTCTTGTGATATGGCCAATCCAAACCTCATGGCAGCCATCGGACCCTCCAAGTGGCCAAAAAAGGGCTATATCCCAATGAGATTCCCCATGGTATTTACCAACAAGATGTGATATAATGGAAATGCTAGCCATGTTTATTGGGACTTGATACATGGTTCATCATGTTTCCCCGAGTTTTTTTCAGGGACACCCAATTTTTGTCCAACAACTTCAAGTCAACACCAACTTCATCCCTTTGGATGGCATTTCCCGAAACGATTTCCTGCAGCGTCGGCACATGGGCAGGCGATCCTGCACTCCACCGGCTCAAAGTCGCGGCGACCACATTCCATCATCAAGCCTTCCGCTTCTGAGCCCGACCTCGGATGCATCGCTTGGAAAAAAAAACCTGCTGTGTGTCGGAGAAGTCCCCCAATTCACTGGCTATTCCCATGTAAACATGGGGCAAAAAAACATGGCTACAACATGGTTCTCCACCAGTAGATGGGCTTAGTTGACCCAGCTTTTTCAATGGGATTAGTTGCTGAATGGTGTGGTAACTATGGCTTAACCAGTTACCGAAATGTCTCCACGCTGCGCTGCAACCGAAGGACCCCATCTCTGTGTCCGAGGTGTCTGAGGTCAAACCTGGGCATGTCCAAAAAAAACTGGAACTTGAGGTTCGAATGGGAAAATCCCATGAAAATCATCTATAAATATTCATTTGAAGGAAAAAAAACATCTATTGTTGGGAGAATTGTGTGTTGTCGTGTTTGACTGAACGTATCCTAAAGCGTGTGAGAATTCATGTGAGTGAATCCCTGGTGACACTGGTGCAACTTCCACCTGTCCTTGGAAAATGGGGTTGCAACCTGCCTATGCAATCCTGGCCAAGCTGCGACAATCTAAATGTCCTTGTCCTCAGAATTCACGTGGAATGACTATGGAGCCATCTGCTAGTAAGGACGATAGTATGTCTTTGCTGTGGGACACTCGGCACAAAGTATACAAAGTATACTTGGAGGTGCAGTTGGGCTTATGAAAGGTTATAACCATGGTGACAACCTCTACAAGTTGGGATGTAACCCCCACAACCCATGGTGATGTAGTGATATGACCGACAGTCGAACATGGCCTTTGGTCGAACATAAGTCAAGTCATTGGGTACATGTTAATACTAAAAATAAACGAAAACCCATCCCCATATCTCAAATGGTGCATGAAAAATGGTATGATACAACCAACATACGAAAAAAAAATCCAGGTGGAGGCCCGGTTCCCCCCTCAAACCGTTGCATCGAAATATGTATCTCTTGTTGAAAGCAATGTCGCGTGTTCATGAAGATACTGGGGTGCCGATGATCATCATGATGATGATGATGAGGAGGAGGAGGAGGACCACAAGGATCAGGATCAGGATCAGGAGGAAGAAAATTATGGAATTTGCCGTTGTCTTTTTCATACACTGATACTGACGAGCCAGCCGAGCCTTGTCGCTCGTCTTTGGCCTCTTCCAGTTCGATCTGAAGTCGGTCGACACGGTCTGGAGATATAATTCGATGGTACAACCAATGGAAGAACCTCAGCCCCGCCAAGTTCCAGCAGATCAAAAAGGTAAAATCCCATGGTTTGTCAACATTTCCCCTATTGGAATTGCATAGAATTGCCATAAATTCTGGGTGCTTCTGGGTGCTTCACCCACTTTTGAACCCAACTGGGTGATGCAACCAGGCCACGTATCATAAACAAAAGCTGTGAACCTCGCACGGAGAAGTCATGCCACAAATGGACATAACAAGCAACCCCCGTTTTCCCATCCCACTGAAATGCTGGTTGTTATAGAAGTAGAAATCCACAATCGGTCATACTAATCCACAATGAAACAGGTATTATAGCAGACTAGTCCTTCATAATTGTGGAAATGATGACTCTGCTGCCAAAATGATTCTGACAACGCTATCTCTCGTTGTAGCCGTCGAGGTCTCGCGACACAGCAGCCCTCCGCTGCGTCACGCAGTTCAACAGTTTCATTAAGCCGTTCCCTTCATTCCCCTGGGGAAAAAGGGTGAGTTGAAACGATGAATTGATGTATTCAGTTGATGGAACTATCCTCCAACCCCCACAGCTTTTGCTGAGTTCAAGCGCCAAGTCACGGTACCACGAAGATGCAAATGTAGAAATAGGCACTTTTGGTAACCATGTGTGCAGGGACGTGGTACATATTGGGCGTCAGTTTGTCACAAAGCCACTGCCATACAGTGTAGACCACCAGGTAAAAGCTATACCTCACTCATCAGAATTGGTGGAAAACTTGGCAGGAAACCCTAAACCCAATCTGGCAGTAAAAACAACCATGGGTTTTCTGTAGATGTTCCCGAAAAAAACCAATCCATTGACGAAAAAGGTGGATCTCAGCCCATAGGCCCATAGGTCATTCATCCGAGAACCCCAACTTTTTCTGCTTCTTTCTGGTGAAAATGATGATTCACCGCGGAGAAAATGGGGGGACCGTAGTGACAAACCCACCATTCAACAGAATGCTCAAATCGCATTCTAAACCAATTCCCTGCCATTTTTTCGAAAAATCGTCATGGCACATTCCAAAGGAAACCACTGCAGTGAGCATCGTGTAGTAGCGGCTGTTTTTATTCCTGGGCATGGCACCATGGTTGGTCTGGACATGTCTGGCCCCCCAAAATCGCATGGTTTCGGATCATCTCAGCTTCCAAAAACGGAGGAGAAAAAAGTCCCGCATCCGCGAGCTATGATTCAACCTGGGTTCAAAGTTGCCCCAAACACCTCCCATCTCCATGTTTTTCGCCGGTTCTAATCTCCAGCGTTCCGTTGGAAAAAGTCATCAAGACCCGTCACAACGACCCGTGTCTCAAGGGCAAGGATCGAGAGGAAGTATGCTCGGTAGTTGACATCCAGAATCAAACAGGTGTAGCAAATGGTCCCAAAGGTATAGTAATCGCCTAGGCTGCAGCACATTGCGACACCAGTCCCCAAAAAAAGACCTGGTCCCAAGAAATGCTGAGAAAATATCATGTGGGGATTTCTTCAAATGTGGGATCCCTTAGTTACCATGGCTTTCAATACTAAGTCATGGTCTGACTGGATGATATTTGGGGGTACCACCATGAAATAGGAAACCTCCATATGGAATCATATGGATAGGAATCTCTTAGCAGTCACCCCAAAATCTATCTATCTCCCTCACCAAGCAACCTGATCCACTGCATTCCAGGGCAGGGAATGCGAAGAGCGTAATCACCACAATCCTCGGTGCTTTCGGTGCTTTCGGTGCTGGTCCCACCTGCTGGATGAATGGAGCATGAATTCTGATTCTGTAAGTTGAAAAACGCCGATCTCAAATGCTATGCGAAATGTCACCCTTCCCAGCCCCCTTGTCATAAATCGAAATCTCACCAGGAAGGGTTTAGGGAGCTGGAAATCCGCCAGGCTTCACCAAAGCATGCAAAATGGCCACTGTAATCGTCATAACCTCGGAATCTGTGCAGTGCTTCGGCTTCGGATGCTTCGGCGGGGGACTTCCAGTCATGTCTCAGTGGCCAGGGCACAACTCTGCGAGCGTTGAGGTCTTCAGAATTCGGCCCGACTTGATATTGATCTGGATGTCTCAGAATCTCGTCTTCCTCGAAATCCTCTGGGATTCCCCAGGTGAAGGTGAAGCTTCCCCAACGTTTTTTTTTGGCAAAACGCTTCCCTTGTGGCGCATTTTTTGACAAAGGCTACACACCCAAAAAATCATCGCGGGATTCACATGATTGAAATAGCTCGGTGAAGAAAACGTGGGAAAGCCAGTAATCCATTACTGGGGGGTCGCCTCGTCGATACATCCGGGCGGTAGAATTGGCATGGTGCAAACACCATTGAAAGTGAGACGAATCCAGTCCTGAGCACAAACGATCAGCGTCCGAAAATGGGACAAGCAGCCAATCATATGCTTTTTTTGGCAAGAAAAGATGACAAAATGTCGCAACAGAAATGTGGAATCGTCAGTGGATTCCATCCCATCAACTCCCCAGCTTTTTGCATAAATCCCAAGCAAAAAATGAGAGAATCACAGCATTCCAAGCATCTTCGAAAAGACTGGTCCCAGAATATCCGGAGATCAAGGTATAGAGCCTGGGAAGGCCGGAGGTTTCAGCAGATGGGAGTGTTCCGGCTGTCCCTTCCAATTCTGGGAGAAGTGTGATAAGTGCTGGGATAAGTGGAATAAATGGAATAAGTGGATTTTTTTTCGGGTTTGCATCATGCTAGTCACATCTGATCACTATGTCATTTTAGTAATCTCGCCTGCCGAAACTGGAAGAACACTTTGTGGTAGATCATATGAGACGGTCCCAGGTATGGTCCCAGGTATGGTCCCAGGTATGGTCCCAGGTATGGTCCCAGGTATGGTCCCAGTATGGCTTCCGCATGCCACATTTGGGACTGATGGCTTTGGCACTCTGAATGGCGCAAACTGCTTCGGGAGCAGTTTCGGGAGCAGATCTAGTTTTGGAGCGTTCAATTCCGAATAACAACCAACAACCCTCATGTCGTCATTTTTTCGTCACGTCAAGATGTAGTAAGTCTGCTTTTTTTCGGAAAGTCACGTAACGCCACCGAGCCAATCTCATCCAAGCTTCACAATGAGCAAGACCTGCACCATATTTCGCCAGAACCTCAGGTGATGACATCACCGACCACAGCTGGTTGGTGGTTGAGCCCTACCCCTGTTATAAAAATATGAGTTCCCCATATATGAAATGGAAAATCATCCATTCATGTTCCAGTCACCACCAACCAGACAGTGTCCACAGATGCCCACGGATGTCCACAGTTTCCAAGCCACGTGAAGAGAGTGAACATACAAGCTCTCCTATAGTTCCAGCGACCATGCAGCAGCAAGAGTCTCTCCAGAAATCTGAACCTCAAATCACCCAATCTGACTATGGGGGCCCCCCTCAACGTTTCGTTGCCTGAAAAAGGGTGCTGAATTAACTATGCTTTATGGTAGATATAACTATAGTAATACTACAGTAAATGGATGTTTTCGTGGGGGTTATATAAACCAACTAAAGCAACTGAAGATTTCATGGATGATTTGAATGGCTTTATGGTAGATATACCTATACTATACCGATACTTTAATGGGGTGTGATTCATCCAACTTACAACTGGGGGGCACGGCCGGGCACGGCACTGGTCACAAGATCTGGGGCCATGACTGGGCTATGGCAAAGTCCGAGTTGTTCACGGCTTGCCGACCTGAAACTTTTGTCGGGAAGCAGTTGAGAACCCCGGAAAAAATCACAGATGCATCCTGGAAGATCTTGAAGACTCAGAAAACGAGTGCAGGAACAAGAACAAGACCATCTTTGAGTCCAAGAATCCACGGAACAATTCTGGAAAAGCTGACAAAATGACACAAATGACTATATAATTATTCACTAAACTACGTATGGTACCCTCTGGTAAACTAACATAGCTGTTGAAAATGCTGATTAGTGGATTTACCCAGCTATCAAGTGGTGATGTTCCATAGTTTTTTTGTATGTTTACCAGGCCGGGTAACCATCATTAACCATTATCCATTCTTCACCATCCATTCACCACTATTACCCTCTGGTAAACTAACAAAACTATAGAAAATCACCATGTTGAATAGGTAAACTCACTATAAATAGGCCATTTTCCATAGCTATGTTAGTTTACCAGAGGGTAACCATAAAATCACCAAGCTCAAAAATCACCATTCGCCAAAAAGGGCACCTTCGCGTCCAGCGATGCCAATGCCCACTTGTGCCGCTTGGATCATCGGCACCTGGGGGCTTTTCCACAATGATGATGATCCAGAATGATCCATCAATGGGAAAATTATGGGAAAATGATGGGAAAATCATGGGAAAATCATGGGAAAATCATGGGAAAATGATGGGAAAATCATGGGAAAATCATGGGAAAATCATGGGAAAATCATGGGAAAATCATGGGAAAATGATCCATCAAAACCATTTTTTTGAACTGTTTTTTTTGGCAAAAAAAAAATCAGACAAAGCCACAATTCCGAATATATTCCTCATGGCCGTGGCACATCATTGGCTCCATCGCCGATGGCCAGTGTGACAGGCGAAGGTTCCACGGTGTTGCGAATGAACTCCACCAATTCAGCCTGTCAACTCCACCATATACAATGGGAATATTATGGGAATATATATATATATACATACACATAGTGAGAATATAATGGGAATATGGTGGGAATGTGATGGGAATGTGATGGGAACGTGATGGGAATATGATGGAATATGGAGATATAACCAAGAAAAATGGTGACTCAATGGGATTGGATAGGACTTTAATGGGATATAATGGCTATGGGTATATATCCGCTTACAACCAGAACTGGACCCCCAACTGTATGATCAGTGGAACCAAAACCTATTGGAAAAATATCCCAAATTCTGGGGATTCCCAGTCGATCATGATGGTTGGTTATATTTCTTCTGCTGGATGAGGATTCCCACTTCATAGATTATCATAGTCCCTCATCTGCTTGGTTTCAAGGTTGAGCCAGCCAGAAGAAAACGAGGAACATGACATTTAAAAAAAACTCTAGATTCAGGGCTCCAAACTTGCCAGGATTTTCTGCTTTCTCAATGATATGAATGTGTCATGGTCAAAACCAACATGGGATGTGATAAAACTGGTCATCCCATGGCCCATCCCTTCAAGGATTGACGACCAACGACCAATCCAAAGCCGGCAGCGGCTCGACCTTCTGCAAGGGGCTTACTCTGCAGGCAATCAGCACAGCGCAACCTGATGGTTGCCACACCGAGTCGCATCTCTGGAGCGACCTATATTTATTTAAGCGTAATTACATATAACCATAATATTTTATATACACATGTTGTATTATAATGTATGTGTATATATATATTGTATATATATATATATTGTATATATATATACATGTTGAGACTAGAGGACTAAAGGAGCGATGTCGGCCTGTAAGCCATGTTCCTCTGACATGAGCAAGAATAAGGCCCCTCTAGCACCTGGTTCTGTCAAAAGTGAACTCGCGTCGATTCTAGCGGGAACCCAAACAGATGAAAATATGGCAATGAAAATCCCCTATTTTCATGGAGGTTTATAGCTGGGAAAATCATCGAACTAAATGGGCTTCGGACAGTTCCACCTAGAAATTCTTGGCGCTGACGCTGATGTCATCCCCAGTCTGATCCCTGGTGGTTCAAGCAGCTGGTAGAGACTCGCTGAAACTGCTTCCTCTTGTAGTCTCCATCTGGGCATGGATCCAATGGCTGAGAGGATGTTCACAGCAGTGCTTATTGAGCCATCCAGAACCCTGTCTTCCAATCTCATGAAATACTAGTTGGTTGAGGGGTTTCCCTACTATGGGCTATGATAATCCCCAATAACCAGGTAGTATAACTCCTTACAACAACCAATCCGTGACCGATCTGTGGTCCACACGGTTTTCACTTTTGATTCTCGTTGGGTCAATTCAGAATCGCCAATAAAGCCAGCTAGGTTGATAAACATGTGATAAGCCCACATGGTCACATGTTGCTGGAAAATCACCGAAAAATACCATGGTACTGTTGGTGAGGCTCCCCAGTTCTAACTTGGTTTAAAAGCCCCATGAATATTGTATTTAACCAATTCATATCCCATAAACCCAACGATTAGCCCAGTGAACTTTGTGTCAAACTATCATAAATTCATAAATTCATAAATCACATATCAATCCCCCATTTTTGATGATTCAAAATCACCATAGTTTCCCCATTTCCCCATGTTCCTCCTAACCTTGGTCCTATGCGATTTCCTGGTGGGCTGAGGGCCCAGACCGGTGCTCCAAATGTGACTGAGAATTTTGCCCGTCACCAGAAGACCGCGACCGCGCAGGACCTCCTCCTCCTGGGAGAAACATATCAAGCACACTATATTAGATATGTACATTGAATATTTTATTAGATACCGTAAATATGTGTGTGTGTTGTATATTATATTATATTGTAATATACTATATTATATTACATTATATTATATCATATCATATCATATGTATATTATAGGTATATTATATTATGTTATGTCATATTATATTATATTTAGGTATATATTATATCACATTATATAATCTTACATTATATTATGTTTATTATTGTTTATATTATGTTATGTTATGTTACATCATATTATATTATATTGTATTATATATTATATTATATTATATTATATTATATTATATCATATTATATTATATTATATTGTATTACATTATATTATATTATATTATATGCCTGTATCATATTCATGTGTGTTCAACATTGTTCAACCATCAAATCATCTACAACCAATAGGGATTACCTATCAAAACTACGAGGTCAACAAAAGATACCCGAACCCCCGAACCCCGCTGGGCCTCCTCTTCGTCATCACTATTATGGCAATCCTTAGAGAATCCATGGCAATTCTTCATTGGTTGGGTCAAAAATACTGTAATTAGTGGATAAATATATAATAGCCGTGGCTCTAAATGCCTGTAGTACTAGGTACTGTAAATGTCTTTGCTATGATTCGCTGGGCCGTATATTCTAAGTATTTCAATTAGGGAATACGTCCCCATCATTCCAATATTTTTATCAACAAACATGTCATCCACCAGTGGATCATTGACATCAAAAAACACTCAATGTCATAAGAATCTCATCCCCCATGATTTCAACACCCATAGATCCAATACATCCAAGGCTGGCTCGATTGGAGTGGTATTTAAGCCAGCCTTGGATGAAGGGATTTCCAATTCTGAAGCGAAATAAACACTGGAGATGGAGAAGAAAGCGTAGCCTCTGGTAAACGTTTACAGTTTGCGAACTGGAATTCATCACCATGTTCAATAGGTAAATCAACTATAATTCACCAATTTCAATAGCTATGTCAAATGACCAAAGCGTACCTGACAGGCAGCTCAATAAGCCAAGCATCCCAAGATGCTTCAACGGAGTCCTTGGAAGTCATCTGAAGTCATCTGGACATGGGACATTCCGGGAAGTTCCGGGAAATTGCCCAGTTACCCTCTGGTAATTTAACATAGCTATTATGGCGAGGGATCGATGAATTTTCTGTCAGAATTCTCCCAACCCCCAGCGAGCCCTTCGCTGACCCCCGGTGATCAGGGCGGATCTTCACCATCATTGGGGTGGCAACTGCCCTGAATGGGGCAGCCAGTTGGCTTTTTACATCCAAAAATCTATGAGAAACCAGGCTTTAGGTCATCTGTTTCCATGGAAAAAATGGCTTCCACTTCGCAAAGCCTGAAATTCATACCCGGCGAACATGCCATGTTCATAATATTGACCAGAAATTTTGCTTGGTTATTCCCAATGATTATAGTAAATTATAGTTTACAAATGATCTTTAGTAATCCCTCAACACATACTATAAATGATCATTGATGATCATTGATAAAATGATAAATAATGAGTATCCAATAAATGATGGACAACTACTATAGTTACTATAGTTATACACCTCAAACACCAGCGACCTTTCGCAGTTTGGCGATAGCGACGGGCCGCGAGATCGGTACCGAGCTCATCGTCCAGGATCTGGATGTCCATGTCCGTGGTGAGCACTTTGGTGCTGAAACCTACGAAAAAACGTGCAGCCGCCATAATCAGCTTAGATGGGAGCAATAAGTAGGATGATTTATAGATGTTAACCTATAGGATTTCATAGGATTAATCCACGTTTTCTTGATTTGTTCCTTAATAAAAATTTTGTTGCGATTTGATGTGGATAAATATAGCTGTTAATGAATCTAAACCATAAACCATGATTTACCTTAAGCCTCCTGGGCCATATTTGGTTTTTCTGATGGGGGATTTAAACAGCAATCATGGGAATATTATGGCTATATCACCGCCAATATGAATAGTTGGATTCTTGACATTCTTAGAATGCGAACTAACTATGTATATATATATGTATATTACATATATATATATATTATATATATACCTGGTTGGTGGTATACCTACCCCTCTGAAAAATGATGGAGTGAACGTCAGTTGGGATGATGACATTCCCAACTGAATGGAAAGTCATAATCCATTCCATGGTTCCAGTCATCACCAACCAGATACGAAAATAATTCACCATTTTTTTCACCAGTATTGACCATTAATAATCTCCAAAAATCCCCATTAATAATCCCATGTTCCAGTCACCAACCAGATACACATCATCTATGGGGATATTGCTACCAGTCGCACGGTCGATGAGTAACTCTCATGGTGCAGTCATGGTCATCCCATTTGAATCCGGTTTGGAAGATTCTGTCATCAAAATCTATGGGACCACATAAAAAATATCCATAAAATGGGAGAAATTATCCATTTAGTGGATGTATAGCTATTGAATCTATTGTGATATCTATAGTTTTGATGGATTTTAATGGTGTTCTTACCAGCCATAAATGGGAATATCATGGGACAACATCATGGGAAAACATTCGACCGAGGATGGTACCCAAGCGCCACGACAAGCAGCCGATGTTCTTGGCAGTTTCCAACTTATCCCCAGTGAGCACCCAGAGTTTGATGCCAGCTTTCCGAATCTGCTCGATGGTATCGGGGACTCCATCCTGCACTGCGAGAGTCTCGGTCATGTTGTGGCATTCGAACATCAAAAATAGCTGAGATTCTGGATCTTCATCCCCCAAATCATGGCCTTTCATAGGTTTTAAGCTCCAAATAATGTTATTTCATAGGTTTCAACCCCCAAACCCATCCCCAAGTAAGAAATAACAATCTAAGGCCCTGGTATTCTGAGCTCCTGAAGTTTATCTTCGATGGCCGTGGCACCAACCAGCTCCAATGATTTCTCAACAATTTCCGCCATGTTCCTTGGCGTTTGAGTTGCCCACTGGGAACCCAGCAAACACAAGGATCTCAGAACTTCAGTTCTTCAGTTCGGTGCTAAGACAACTAAAACAAGGCAGCTTCGAAACACAGTCTCAACCCTTCGAAAAAAAAAAAAAAAACAGTTGCCGCTGCCATGATTTTCGATGCCTTGGAACCAGGTCTTTGACTCGCACCCAATGGTTTGACTCGTGAATGATGGATGCTAATGTGGGGAAAAAAAACACAACAATCATCATCCGCGTCATAATGGCTGGAAAATTAAACTCATCTTTGAAACATGTAGGGGTTTGTCTGAAAAGGTGCTACCCCATTCCATCCACTGGTTCATCATGATGTTCCTTTCGAAAAATTGGTGCCATTGGTGCTTTACCGATTTTCAGACACTTCAGACACTTCAGACACCGAGCTGCGCGAGTTTCTCGTCCCGGTCGCTGGTGGCTTTTTGCGCCTGGTGTGAGTCAGGTTCCTAGAATGGAGGCACCCAGAAATGAATGGTTTACGGGGGAAAATCCATTAAAACGGATGATTTAGGGGTACCCACATTTTAGGAAACCTCCATATGTGTGTATAATATATACATATATATACATGAATATAATATATATATATATAATGTTTATGTAAATATATATATAATATGTATGTGTATATATATATATTCAATTTTCCCAAACATAAACCTCCCGTCGCGCCGTTTTCCGTACGTGCGTTTTGCACAATTTCATCATCATCAGGTCCACTTAAAGTTCATTTCGTGTGGGAGGCATTAAGCGTTTTTTGTTCAGCACGCACAAAATGATGTGGAAATTGGCTGGTGTTTTTGGAAAAAGTCATATTTCGCTTGTGTTTTCATGCAATTTTGACCGAGAATTATGTGAAATTTAACATCGTTTGGAATAGGCTCTGCCCGCATAATATGTGTCATCGCATCAAAATCGGAAAGAGAAAACGTGGCCTGCGTGGCATATTCATCATCATTTTTGTCCAAAATTTGTCGAAACCAGTACGCATTTAGAGTGGTTTTACGTTTCTTTTTCCTTCTCGCTGTGGTGCCGTACATGTATTTCTTCAAAGTGCTGTTTTCCCAATGACAGCCATCACAACACAGTCTGCGCACTTTGTTTTCTTCTTCACTTTCGCAGCAAGTTGAGCTGGTTGATGGTCTTCGTGCGAATCAGAGTGAGGCGATTGACATACCTCCACTGGAACGCGCGCAAGTAAACCTCAATCAATTCTGATTGGCTTCCCACCTGTTTTGGAATGAATGCTTTGCACCCAGTCCACACTTGGTCAATTGTTCCGGTATGTACTTGAATGACTTCTCGTCCTCGTCTCAGTTCACCAGTAAACTGGCCAGCTGAATGGTTCACCACACCATCTAGAGACAGACGCCAAGAACGTTATTACACCCCCCACCCCCCAAACCCATTTCACAAGAGTATGTGCAGAGACGTTCACAGACGTGTGCTAGCGTAGCATCCAATGCGTGCCAGCAAGTACGTGAGACGGTGCTAGCGTAGCATGCCGTCATAGAAGAAAGACGATCATCTAGAGACAGACGCCAAGAACGTTATTACACCCCCCACCCCCCCCCAAACCCCCCCATATGAGAAACGTCAAAAACCTGCATTTTACTAGTACGGTTTTCGGCGCGTAGGCATAAACCTCCATGTACTTCAAGGATTTCCCACCGGTCCATCATGGCAATGATGACACCATAAGATCTCATGATATCTTCCGCATCATATCCCCATAAAATCACCATTTTTTTTTAACCCACCAAAAAGAACTCAGGATGAGCAGATCCCATTACTCTTAGATCCATGAAATCCCCATGAAATCCCCATGAAATCCATGCGCTCCGCCTCCTGATAGCGCGCCAGCCAGCTGTTGGCCTCCTCCGCGGAAAGGGAGCGGCAGCCAATCACCAGTGTGCGCAGGCCTGGAAAATGGTCAGCCGGGATGTAAAGAAATTTCGTTGAAGTTGATGAAGTTTGGATTAGATGAAGTTGGATGAAGCTGGGTGAAGCTGGATGAAGGTTGAAGTTGGATGAAGTTAGATGGAGATGAAGTTAGATGAAATAGATGATATTTGAAGTTTCATGGGTATCTGTCCGTTCATCTGTTGCGATTTCCCACACGGATTCACGAAATTATGATGTTTGCAACCCGAAAGGGGATTCAGGGAAAACATGAGCTGCATCTGAACAGCTGCTTTCGCTGGCTCGAAGAGTAATGTACACAGCATCTTCCACTTGAGAACCCATATCCAGAAGTAAAGAATCCCTTCCCCCGTTCATATTAAACCCCAGAAACCATGGAGGATGTAGGGAATGAAATCACAAGTTCGAGACCAGGGTATGGGATGTGTTCAATAACAGAGGATCCGGGATTAGACCTGCATCATGATGGAAGATATTGGCATTCCGAACCAGACCTTCTTCCGAAAATTCCTTGAGGTGCGCTTCCAAGGTCGTTTGATTTCGCTGCGCGGCTCGTTCAAGCATCACCTGAGTGTGAAATCTCCACTGGACGGTGGATCATTCAGATATCGATGAATGAAATCTGTCACTCAGCGCCAGACATTGTCCGCACCTTTCACCAAGAGCAGGTATTCAGAGCCTGGACGAGTTACTCGCATCCACTGGCATCCTGGGACACCCAAAAACTGGGATCCAGGGATCCCAGGGATCCCAGGGAGCCTTTCTTGACCAGCACGGACATCCGCTTTCGCGCGCTGTTGAACGCATTGGTTGCCAGCACTGTGTAAGTGGAATCCTGCGAATCGCAACTCGGCTTGGCACAGGATGGACCAAATCTGGTTTATTGCCCCGGTAGTCAAACGTGGCAAGGTGGAAAATGTCGAAAATCATCATTTCATTACTCTACAAACCTCCATTTCTAGTTGATTTTCCCAGCTATAAACCTCCACATGGCTACAACTCCTGGATTTCCCGCAACGCGCTGTGCCCAGCTGTCCTGGGCCTTTTGCGAAGCTGCGTGCAGCACTGAGACGGTGAGGTCAGTGCCCCTTCCTGCAGCAGTGCCCATGGGTTACCCATCATATCTCCATTTTAGATGGTTAGATCATTATGTTAGATCATGGATATAAAATGATATAAATTATCCCATGTATGTTAGCTCCTCATGTAGATATACGATGGTTAGATCATCACATTATACGATGGTTAGATGGTTATATTGGTAAATCTATCCCATTTTTCTGAATGGAGATGTGATGGATAAATAGCCCATGCATGTTAGATCCTCATGTTTGTTGGCCCACTCAGCTGCTCAGCTAAAAATCCATTAAACACCCTGCCAACCTCGAAGCCCCACACGTAAATTTCGTTCGTTTTAGGCCAAGCATCGAGACTTGAACTCCCAGCCGGCGTTGGCTGCGGCCTTCACCAAAGCATACTCATCTGGGCTTTCGGCCTCATAGATCCTTGGGTGGTCCACTTGGGTGATGAAACACTATGATTTCATGGGATCTACCCTCTGGTAAACATACAAAAAACTATGAAAAGTCCACCATTGAAATAGTTGATTTACCCAGCTATAAAATGGTGATTTTCCATAGTTATGTAAACGTTTACTAGAGGGTATAGTGGAAATAGGAATATCATGGGATATGATGGGAATATCATGGGATATTGTGGAAATTTATGGAATATCATGTTTTTAGCATATGGAAATTTCTGGAATATCAATGGATATGACTATTAGCATCTTGTAATCTAGCAGTTTGCTCTGGAAAATGGATGAACATGGGCCATTTGGTTCGATGATATAATTCTTAAGAATGGCGGTTCTTCATAGCTATGTTGAATTTTCCATGGCTATGTTGGATTGTCAGATGGTACTCAATGGAGAACAAGGGAAAAGGTTGCTTTGACAGGAAAACTGATCATTCTTTCCGACGAATTGGGAAGTATTCCTGTAAACTCTCGAAACCAATTCTGCGAAATCCATCGAAATCCTGGATTCAAACTTTCCATGGAAGAGTTGTGCCTGCGATTGGTGGAGACGACGGCCCAAGGCATACGTTAACGGTACCATTGCTGCCTTCTTGGAACATCGGGGGTCGGCCATGACTACAATCCAGCCACCGTTGGACCTGTTAAGGCCTTACCCTAAAAGAAAATCCTGACCCCACTTGGGGAAACCAATCGTTGGGGTATGCTCTCCCCCACATTAGATGTACCCTGAAAACCCTGAAAATGTCGATGGAAAGGGGACGCATCTGCCAAGATACAACTCGCCGTCCTGCGAATCCAAGTGCTCTCAGCCCAACAGTGACAGGCCGTCAATCTTCAAGGGACTTGACCCTCGAAAACAGCAATTTTGATGAGGAAGATTATGATTCATCAACAAATTTGGATGGTGTTCCCCTAAATGTTCAGGTATCAAAACCCAGATTTGTAAGCCAAAATGGTACCTTTTCACCACCACATACCTCTCCCTCGCAGAGTCCTTGCTGGTTGCCATGACGGTGTGAGATACCTGCCACACGTCAGACACGTGTGGGGCAAGCCATGTGTTTCTTTCATAGGGAAACTATCCCATTAAACATGGTGAATCTTATATACCTGTCAAAAAAAACTGATTTTGTAGCTGGTTTGTACATTTTACCATTAATAGCAAAAAAATCAAGTACTAAAGTATCTAATCCAGGTTGAGCCAGTTTTATGCCCCAACATTTCCAGTGAATGAATTATTACCTAATTTATCCAGATCCATGTGCTTTTGTGCAGGGAAACAAAAAAAACACTGTTTATTTGATGATCATTGATCATACCAGCGAATTTCATGATCATCATTCCAATGGCTGATCATCCACTTAGTTGTTGTCAGTGTGCGGGTCGTCTTTTGTACCAATGGTGTACCAATGGAAATAAACATTCCATTAAAATGTCTTCCATAGTTTTGACCTTACTCATTTGGACCCAGATGTGCAGAGATCTTAAATTCCTGTTGGTGAAATGCCGCTGTTGGTTGACTCCCCCTCACGTCACCCATGCTGATTTAAAGCCCAGGGCTGTCTCTGCTCATATAATCCTCATTTTCAGGTTGCTCCCTGGCCACCCCAGATACAAGCTGGTTGGTGGTTTTAGCCATCTTGAAAAATATTCAATGGGAAGGATTGTCCCATATATTATGGAAAATAAAAATCATGTTCCAAACCACCAACCAGCAAGGATTGTAAATGGGTTAATAAAGAATGATAATGTGGTAAAATGACCCATAAAACCCCTCTGAAAATTGCGGCTCTCATTCACCTATTCACCTAATATCTTCCCTCTAATATTACACAGCACCCTAGAAACCATGTTTTTGTAGGTGAATTTTACATATTTGGAACCATAGAATGGAACTGCTTAATATGACCGGTGGATAGGATTCTTCACCTATTCACATCAGTTCTAATTTCTAGCTACTGAGTACATTAATTACCATTGATTGCAAAAGATTTAAAGTATATCAAAGTACAAGAGTGCGTATCTAACTTTTTTTTGACAAAAGAAATGCAAGCCAAATCACAAACGCTGCCTCTGCAACCTCAACGCAGAGTTCGTATCTAACCAACATATCCACCCTCTGGTAAACGTTTACATAGCGAACTGGAATTCATCACCATTTGGAATAGGTAAATCAACAAACTTAATGAGCCATTTTCGCATTGTCACTAACAGTTTACCAGAGGGTAAACTGTAATGATTACCCATGATTAACCATTATCAACCATTACTAACCCATTATTAACCCATTGTCAACCATTATTAACCCATTATTTTGACATCACCAGAGGGTAAAAAGTTGACCCTCACATCACCACGAAACCACCGAGCTGCCGCCAGGATTTCCAGAAAGCGATCGATGCTGGGACTCGATGCTCGGTCGGCCTCCCAGCGGAGCCACCCAAGGGTGGCAATGATTCGTGGAGCAACACTGGTGAAAAAACCATGGTTAATGATGGTTGATGTTGTGGTGAATGGATGGTGAAGAATGGATAATGGTTAATGATCGTTACCCGGCCTGGTAAACATACAAAAAACTATGGAAGATCACCATGTTTAATGGGAAAATCCACTATTTCTATGGCCATTTTCAATAGCTATGTTTGTTTACCAGAGGGTAATACGGAAGATAATGATTAATCAAGGCAGTCCCATGAAATTCCGGGCTACTCCATTTTTCGGCCCAAGTCTCATCCCCCGATCATATTACCCGCCATAGAAACACAATAAATAGATCCAATACAAAACTAGGCTTTGCAGCGGGCTATTCAATTAGGGGGATGGTAATGTTCGGGATTTGATGGGGATTTTGTTCGGGATATTGGCCAGCGACAGGTCTTTTTTGTGATTTCTAAATGGTTGAAAGTTCAAAGCCATAGCCATTATACCATTATACCATCTCATTAGGGATATTCTATACCCTCAATGAAAGTGTATGTTATTATATTCTAACTGTTAGAATATTATTATACTCAATGGATATTCTATAGCCATTATACCATCTATGGTAAACTGTTAGACTTTGCAATTGAAAATGACCATTGAAAGGTGGGCCCCAGGGATGTTTGTGGAGCTTACCCCCATTAACTATAGACTATATAGTTATATTATATATATATATGGTGCAGCGTTGGCCACCCCCCCTCCCCCCCCCACCAATGGGTATGGGTGGACAGTATCGTCTGGTTCTTCTGGTCCCCCCCCTGTGGCCTGTGGTGGTGGTATGGTTCTTCTGGTCCCCCCCCCTGTGGCCTGTGGTGGTGGTATGTTGGTATGTTGGTATGTGGTATGTTGGTATGTTGGTATGTTGGTATGTTGGTATGTTGGTATGTATGTATGTATGTATGCAGGTATGTATGTATGTATGTAATGTAATGTAATGTAATGTAATGTAATGTAATGTAATGTAATGTAATGTAATGTAATGTAATGTAATGTAATGTAATGTAATGCATGTATGTGTGTGTGTGTGTCTGTATGTATGTATGTATGTATGTATGTATGTATGTATGTATGTATGTATGTATGTATGTATGTATGTATGTATGTATGTATGTATGTATGTATGTATGTATGTATGTATGTATGTATGTATGTATGTATGTATGTATGTATGTATGTATGTATGTATGTATGTATGTATGTATGTATGTATGTATGTATGTATGTATGTATGTATGGAATGTATGGAATGTATGGAATGTAAGGTAAGGTAATGTAAGGTAAGGTAAGGTAATGTAAGGTAAGGTAATGTAATGGTATGTATGTATGTATGTACGTAGGTATGTAGGTAGGTAGGTAGGTAGGTAGGTATGTAGGTATGGTATGTATGTATGTATATACACCACCACAGGGGCATCATACCCCCCCCCATCCCATGGGGGGGGGTGGGAACACGGGACACGGGACCATATATATTTCTCTTTATAGATGTATATATCCTCCATAAACCCTAGTTAGCTATTGTTTTTTTAATAAGTCAACGATTTGACCATCTATTTTAGTCGGATGGTTGGTTGGTTGAATCTGCCAGTTTTGGACATGCCCATGGCTGCCAAATCCTCAACAAAGTGGATGTATGTCTTAAAAATCGGAACCTAAGCAACACTGAAAAACTTAAATGAACCATGTCTATATCTTATTTACGTGTACAGTATGTCTGTTGACTGTGCTAAGGAAATCTAGTTTTGACCAGCCACGAATCTCTCAGAACTGAGGACCTTCACACCCATTGATGGCTCTACCACTTTAAGAATTGATGGTTCTTTGAGGGGCGCATGTTTACAACTTTGATCAACTTTGAATGACCATCAGAATCTGGACCATTCATTTTTGAACATGCTATATAGAAGTACCCTGTTGTGGCTATAGTTTACTTATCTGGTTGGTCGTTTTAACCATCTTGAAAAATATTAGTCAATGGGAAGGATCATCCCATATATTATGCAAAATACAAAATGTTCCAAACCACCAACCAGTTACATATTGCTTCAAGCAACCTAAATGGATTTCACCACCAAAAAATTGGCACCACATCGATCCATTCGATGCCTCAAGTTGTTTGCCACCATTAAAGCCATCCTGAAGCTGGGAACGAGCAGCCGCTTTACAGGTTTGTTTGAAATGGGGGCACTCGCAATTTTCATGGACAAAACATTGAGAATGCTGCGAAATATTTTCCCGATTTATTGACCAAAAGGGATTTGTTCACCGAAAAGGATGCCACTGGTCGTTCACCGTCATGATCCAAGGAGAACTGCTGGGATGGCATTCGTTTGTCAGAGGGGGCCAAATAGCCAAAAAATAGTACCCCTTGACTAATGCCAAAAGATCGGGTAGCTGAAAGTATACTCTCATCCTAGTTGGAAGATAATGATACCCCAGTACTCCTACCCCCTGACATTAAACACACCCCCAATACAGGCGCCCAATTCATGTATAGATTATAGATCCAATACATATCTCTAAGGGGTTTTCCTGGGGGGTGTCTCATATATTCTGGGAAGTGATTGCACAAATCAGTCACCGATGAGTGGCACTTGGGTTCTGAAAATCGGGTACCTCTGAATCCATGGGTTGATCATCATTATCCCTATTCAACTGGCTCCAAAAAATACCCCATTTTCAGACACATCCACTTCATCGTATCATTTTCAAAAAACAGGTAGTTCCCACATCGCTAGGCCCAGCTTCCTCTAAAAGGCTTTGTACCTGGACAGCTAGGCTTGAAAAAAATGGCAAAGCCCTAGGATTCTTTACCAAAGAACAGCCCAGACCCCCTGGAAACATATATAACCTGGCAATGGTGTGATCCCTAGAGGTCTCAACTGAGCTGGTGATGGGAAGAACACCGATCTACCAAGGCCCGCCCAACAATCACCGCTACGGTCACCTTTGGGAAATTGGCCGGTTGCGTTGCGCAAGGGCCATTAGGCTTGCTGCAACCAGACATTAAAACACCGCTACGGTCACCTTTGGAAGTCCCAAACATTCCTGCGGACGATTGGAAGTCCCAGCCCTCTCCAAAATGAGGATCCCGGCCTCCACTTTGTCCTGCGCTTGCGGCAGAATCACCACTTGATGCTGATTGATGGTGCTGGGAGGGGCGAAGGACAAGTCTCCGATCTAAAAATGTGGCTTGTGAATCTCGAGAAGCTCATCCTCTTTTCATAGCAACGGTTTTCAATCCCACCAGTGCTCCTGCATCTTTGGCGCTTCGGACAAGAACGTCCCGTATTTCTTGCCACCAATTGAGAGGCGTCTGCAACGGATTGCGGCAGCAGTATGAGAGTCTTGGTTTAATGGTTTAAAGAAAAAAGACGTTGACGGGAAGTAGTGACTACTAAGTAGTGTGGCTTCTGCTCTTGAAAATCCACCTATTGATCCAATTCCGCTGGGTTTCCCACTTTTCTTGTTTGGAGTGCCAATGCGGTCGCTGTGCAAATTCAATCACGGCGCTGGGACTCAACCCTTGGGTAGCAACCCTTTGGCCGCTGCACGTCGCAGTGTATCAAATTTGGTTGGTGGTTCCAGTTACGACATGATTCGGTCAACTTTCACACACGTCCCATCTCGAATGAATCGATCCGGCCCAACCAAAAACAAAGCCCTGAAAGCAGTTTGATTGAGGCGAATCATTCAGGTCCACAACCCGCCTTAGAACCATGTCATTCTGCGTCAAAGTGCCTGGAACGACGTCTCCGTGGTCAGCTTGAGCTGGAGATGATATTCGGGCCACCCAGATTTAATGTTTTGGTTTTTGACTCTTCCACCATCATTCACTTGGAGACATTTATTGTCACTGCAAGTTCGAAGCGAACATACAAAGGTAAGGATTGCAACTGATAAATATTGCAGAGCATTTCCACCCTGACATACCATGACAATGTCTCAAGATCAGTGATGTAGGAGCCACTGATCTTCAGCAGCGCCCACCTGTTTTGTCTGAAAAGACGTAGCCAACCTGCATCAGTTCGTTGCGGGGAAACTGGATGTTACAACCATCTTTTCAAGGCGACTCCGACACCCAATTCGTCTCTGACGCCCCTGGGATTCGGGTCATTTGGGTATCGAACAACATTTTGGATCTCAGCCACCCTCCTTCCCCGCGCCTGTCCCAATTCTTGCGACAAGTTTGTACTTCTGGTGCAAGCTTGAAATTCTTCGCCATCGGGGAAGGTATATTTCCTCACGGAATGCTCCCCACAAAGCTGCTGAAGATCCAAAGTCACAGAAGAAAGGATGATTCCCTCACACAAATCGAAAAAAAAAAACGGCAACACCTCAAGAACTGAATTGGTAAATTGCTATCCATAGAAATTAATGATATCTACTCTATGTATCCAATCATTGAATTTTCGAAGAAAAACATGCTATGGTTCCATTGATCGTTCGGCACAGAAAGGTATGCCAAGAAGAACTGTCTGCCGCCAAAGCTGCATCTTGAAATCCTGCCGGATGGCACGACACCTGGATCCGCTGCAGAACGTGACTCCAAATATGTGTATCTGGCTAGTTTTATCTCATTTAGTCCACTCCAAGCCAATCTGACATAGCATATCCATCTATGTGTAGATACATAATTCTATGTCATATATCATAATATATATTTATATATATACATATTGTATATACATGTTCGCTGCAACCCTCACGTTGCGCCGCGTCTGACTTCAGGTGGCTATGAAGATAAAGTTGATGTTATTACCCCAACCAACATATTGTTCATAGGGGGTGGCGAATTTTGATCCCTCATGAAGATAAAGTTGATGTTATTACCCCAGTCAACATATTGTTCAGAGGGAGTGGCAAATTGTAATGTTATGATTATCATGATGTGATGAGTTGATGATCATCATCATGATGATCATGATCATGCTCATGATCATGACGATTGTAAGTGTGGAGCAACGTCCGGGTTGGGGCGAACATGTTATATTATAAAAAAAAAAAATCGTATCCACTGGGATGCGCGTCTCGCCATCACCAGGGCGCTGGAAAGCATTGCAGAACTCCACTGTGGGGTACAGGGAGATGGGCATCAAATTCGAGAAAAGCCTAAGGTGGCTACCCGGCCATATCGGCCGGAGATTGGGATGACCAACATGATACCAATAAAAGATCCAATACATCTTGTATTTCCAAAGAATGGATGTATGAGGATCGAAATAAAAATGATTTCTAAATATAAATATTATACATATAATATGTATATGTCCAAATAACTTCCACCGTGTTCATTTTTGGTTCAATGGAGAATCAAAAACATGGGGATAATCATGGGATAATCATGGGATAGTCATGGGATAGTGCAAATTCCATGGAATAACATGAAGACTTCATCGGAAGAATGGGATAATATTGGAAATTGCGATTCCCATATATTCGAAGAATCCTGGGATAATCGTGGAGTTTGTTCTAATGATAGGATTGCGTCAATGGGCATGAAATACAGTATATGAAATGTCGCTGCATCACAGCTGCACAAAGCCCATTCTCGGATACAAGTGGGTGTAGCACCCCAGTTCCCCCAGCAATAGCCCCAGTTTAGCAAGAGTTTTGTAGATACCCTCTGGTAGTCAAACATGGCAATGGAAAATCCACCATTTGCAGATGATTTTCCCATTAAAGCCTCCATTCAGAGCAGATTTTCCATTGCCACGTTTGATTACCTAGGGGGGTGAAACGAGGGAAAGTTCATTTTCATCCGGGAATCATAGTAATTACTCCCTGTTATGGCTCAACATGAACCTGTTTTCCTTCAACACAAGCACCAGCCGCGTCGCAAGCGACACCCAGGGTGTCGCCTGGATTTCAACTTGGCCAAGGAGCGTGAAGAAGGTTAACCACCAACCAAGCCATTCTGGCCTCGGGTGTCAGTCAAAGTCCAAATTCCCCGGACCCGCAGATGGCATGGTCAATATATCAATCCCACCTTTGGGTATCTGCGACGCAGCGGCAGGACGATGTACTCTTCCTCCAAATACCAGTGATGCTTTGGCTTGAACTGGATGTGCAACAAAGAGCAAACGAAAGAGATCAGAGTCTGTGCACACCTCAGAGGAGAAAGAAAACATCCAACGATCCAAACGACCCCTTGAGAATGTCACAATCCCATGCTTGTTCCACATAGAGTGTCTATTAGATCACAAAATGCGGGGCATCAGCTTCACAGAACAAGTTTAAAGAGATGACAGCCCGGTGCAGGTGGAAGTCGGCATTGGAAACTGTTTATGGAAAAATATAGAAAATCAGTGGCTCAAAAGCAAAGCTACAGGTGCACAACAAAAGAAATACATACCTGTGGAGAACTCAAAGGAGAGGACAAGCCATAGCTCAGACCAGGCACAGAACTATCAACATAGCCCTGTTGGTTGTACGATCCAAATTCGACTGCTTCATGGGTGCAGGCCTTGAATTCTTCACCATCCTCGCGGAATGAAGCCGGCGGATCAGCAAAAAGATCACCCTGGAAACACAGATGTGATGATTTTCGGAGCTCCTGGTGTCATTGCCTGTGTAGACTATCACACCTCAGGCTAGCTCCGCAGTCAGTCTCAGAAGGGTCATCAATTGGACCACCGGGCACACCACCGCGAAGCAAACTCAGCGTCTTCCGATTTAGCCAAGAAGCACAAGCATCTATCCGTGTTCCTGCACTTGTGATCACTTGTGCACATCTCTGACAGACCCTGATTTCCGGGATGGGCAAAAGTTCCCCTAAAATGTCATGGTGAATTGGTGAAGCATCTGGTCTTGCTTCGAAAAAAATCGCTATATTTTGCCAGTGAAATCTCCCATTGACCCCAGGGCATCCGCGCCTCAGCACTGTGCCTCGCATCAGTAGCTGTTTAGGCCCAAGGGATGCCATCTTCTTGTCCACCGACAGGTTTCCATTGAAGTCCTTAGGGCATCTGCACGGCTCGCGTCGAAAGACTGTGGTCATGGTCTGAAAACTTTCTGGTTCTCAAAGATGGCAACGAAAAATCCCATATGAGTTACAGTACTCTAAAAAGTGTGGTACCAGTATATATATATATCTCTGGGATATATATATATATGGGATATAAAAAAAACCATTATATATCCATAAAAATCCCATTATCCATAAAAATCACATGATAATATCCATTAAAATGCAACTTTTCTGCGGAAATCTCATCTTAAATCAGTGGATGGAGTGACTTTATTTTCGAATCTCAGCCCCAGATCAGATTGGGTCTGTCCAGTCATAGGGGAATCATTCCTTGTGCAAATGTGTGAATGTTTGTTTTGTTTTCGGTTGGGTTGCTATAAAGTAAAGCAACGCCAAGAGAGATAGAATGTAATTTCGGCATTCAGACATATGTTCCACCAATCAAACGTAGTAAGCTACCCGAACCAAATGGGTATTTTATTGGAAGAATCATCGAACTAAATGGCGATTGTTTGCCATGTTTGATTACCCCCAGAAACCATGGCATAGTAGGGAATTTACACATGTTTGGGACCATTCAGAGAGTGTTTAATATATTTTAATATTAGGGGATTGGATAATTCACGCATACTTAAACTTCAGACAAAAAAAACATCTACCAAGGATCATGGATATTGCCATTGGGCTTCTCTGCGTTAATCTCCACCCTTACGCGACCCAAGCCACCTCGGTTCCGGAGCGAGTCAGTCAGCTAAAAAAGGTGGATGTAGAATGTCTCACAGAACTATTATACTATGATATGTATATCTATATCTCAACATCGAGATATAGCACAAGATTCTGTAAGATGAGGAAAATAGTCAAAAAACAAACGTGACAAGATGAGATCAGATGAGATAAGAGAAGAGAAGATGAGATAAGATAAGATGTCAAAGCAAGATGAGATGAGATAAAGTTAAGCCAGATTGATAGATAAAGAGAGGAAGACACATGTGGTTTTAAAAAAAATGTGTTTCATTTTTTAGATTCTGGCCCACACTGTGGGAATTTGTTGGTCACTGAACATCTGCCCAAACGCTCGGGTGACTCAACACTTGACAACCTGCGAGCCTTGGAGAAATAAACCCTGCTTGAGTACTTGGGAAGTAACCCTCAAAAAAAAATGATACCCTCTGGATATTTAACATAGCCGTGGAAAATCACCATTTTTAATAGGTAAACCATCTATAAATGGGCCATTTTCCATGGCTATGTTAAATAACCAGAGGGTATCATAACTCATAATATCTTGTCTGGTATATCAAACCTGATGATAATATGCTTTGAAAAATGGGACCCCACCTGCTAGGAAGAAACTGAGGTTTTTACTCCTCGTTTCACGATGTCTCTTCTCGTCTCAATTCGAGTCCTTCTCCATGTCATGGCTACTGGGTCATTTGGCTAAAAATCACCTGCGAAACTGGAAGGGTCTGGGTTTGGACCCTCCAAGTATCTCTATTATATTTGGGGTTACCCTCTGGTAAACTAACATAGCTATGGAAAATCATCATTTTTCATGGGTAAATCAACTATTTCTATGGCCATGTTCAATAGTTATGTTAGTTTACCAGAGGGTACCCTCCAGTAAACTATCATTGGGTGATTTTGCAGCCATGTTCGACCGCTCAAACTTTCCGCCGGGCAGCCACCAGAGGTCAGTGCCGTCTGTGTGAGTTGGGGCGCGGTCTTCAACTTGAGATTGGTCTCACCATCCAAGTTGGCAGTGGACACGTAACCTCAGCAATAACTGGTTCTCATTGGGTGTTTTGGTGGTGATTGATGCTGTTTTGCCCGAAATAAAAGTTTTGACACAAAACCTCAATGGCGGTCATTTGCTGGAGAACCAATGGAGTTGTCACAGTTTTTGTGGTGGTGATTTATATTAAATTTGCCCAAAGTAATTGTTGATGACGAGCAATTCGGTGGAATCTTATTAGGACGGCATGACATATTGAGTTGTTTGTTCGTTGAGATCGCGTCGCTAAAATTTTGGATTGTCTGGAAAAGTTGTTTCCCTGTTTCAAAGGTTGTTTCCTCTAAATGTTAAATGAACCATCTTCGTGTGTCATAGATGCCTTGATTGTTTATTTCCCATATATATATATATATACATATGTATATATATATACATATACCTTTATATGTATATAGAAAAGTGTTGGAGTCCTAAAATTGATTCATTAATTACCCACTGTGGTTGGTGTAATCCCATCTAATGGTAGTGAAGCAGCAATAAATCATTCTCAGTTTTACCATACATGGGTGGTATAATAAGCCATCAAAATATGGGCGGTGTATTATTGCTTTAATGTGGGTAAAACAATGTTTGAAACCATCCCCCAAATCACCATAAATAGATGGTGTAAACAATTCCCAAATGGCTGGTTTATGGCATTGTTTTACCAACGTTACCAACATTACTTCCGAAAATATCTCCAGCACCAAGCAGCAGTTTCCACCTTCTCCAGAGCACATCAATGGCACGGTGTCCGCTGGGAATTCGTGGTCCTGGGAAGTGCAGAAAGCCGATGAATACAACCCGTGTAAACGGAATCTGTTGCTGTGTTAGCAAACGAAATCATATGTACAGAACATTGCATATGTAACATGTAGTTATGTGTTTTCATTGTGCAAATAATATGTGTATATATGTATACATATTATATAGATATTATATCATATAAATATATATATATGAATCTCAAAGTGGATGGCTCAACTCAAAAACCAAAATACCCATAAGATGGCACCGCGCGCTGAGAAAGAAAACGGCGCTATTTTAGCTGGAACATAAAACGAGTTCCGCCAATTGAAGAAAAAATCGCCCTACTTTAAAATGAGAAGGTAGATGGCGCAACTGCCACTCCAGTATATGGACATAAGGGTATTGTTAACTAAGTTTACTACATTTCCGATCATTTTTGTTTGTTTGTACTGTAGACTACACATGTCTGTATTGTAAATAAATCATATTATATATATATAAATGATTCACCTAGATCTTTTATCCTAAAACTGAGTTGCGCCATCTATGTCCCTTAAATCCCATTCAAACGCCAGAATTGTTGAGAAAATGGGGGAAACCAGCGCAGTGCCAATTTTCCACTTGGGTTCGCCCCGGAAAACGGACCCCACCAAGTGTCAAGTTTCCTTTGGGAAACTCAGGAAAAAGCTCTTTTTCGGGGAACTTGGTGGGGTCCGTGTTCCGGGGCCAAGCAAAGTGGCAATTGCCAGAGCGTAGAAGATTGCAAAAAATATGTCATTTTTAGGGACATAGATGGCGCAACTCCCACTCATTCGCCAAAATCAGGCTGGGAATATGCCCACATAGATGGCGCAACTCCCTCATATCTCCCGACATCCATCAACCAACCTAACCAAAATATGCCACATCGATCAGAGTTATGCCAAGACAGAAGTCAAAACCACCAGGAAAGACATCAGAGTTGTCCCAGGATAGGAGGCAAAACCACCAGGAAAGACATCAGAGTTGTCCTTTTTGGGACATAGACAGCGTAACTTCCGTCATTTTGCCAGCAAAGGTCGAGACGCTTTAAAACCCAATTTTAACAAGTGACCTGAGGAACCGTTTTTGCCGTCAAGAAACGGTTCCTCAGGTCACTTGTTAAAATTGGGTTTTTAAGCGTCTCGATCTTTGCTGGCTCAAAACAACTTCTGTCATTTCGCCAAAATCAGGCTGGGAATGCCCACATAGATGGCGCAACTCCGGGAGTTGCGCCATCTATGTCCCAAAAAGGCAGCTTGATGTTGAGAAAAAAATATGGGGAGAAACCAGCGCAGAAGATTGCAAAAAATGTCATTTTTAGGGACATAGATGGCTCAACTGACCTGTTTTAAAGGGAGTTGAGCCATCTATCCTACATTTTTTTTTGACATAGATGGCGCAACTCAAGATTCTGAGCCATCTACTTTGAGTTACGAGTACATATACATATATTGTATACATGTAGAGATATAGAGAGAGATGGGGGAATGGATTCCAACATTGGAATGCAATGAGATTGTTGTCAAACCTCACACAAGATTGTAAACCAAAAGGGGTTCTGGGCATGACTTGCATACCGCGCCTCAACCTGGCTGAACATCAACGGGTATTGAGAAAAAAAAAACATGAATTCCCCAGCCGTCCTTTGTGACCAGAAGGATGTCGCCGACCTGCAAGTCCTTAAACTTCTTTTTGACCTGGCACACCGGCATGCCCCTCTGCAAGGTGGGTCAGATATCAAAATTCCTTCGGAAACCAACCATGAGATCTACCATAGACATCCATAGTATCCATAGTTCACATATGTTAATATAACATTTACAAAATGTTACAATTCAATCTAGAATCTAGCGAATCTAGCCTCTTGGACCCCTTGAAATTTCGAGCTTAGGAAACCCAGCACCCATCCCTCGACCTGGCGTTCACCTTCCATCACAATGGCATCCTTAGGAAGTTCTCCAGCATAATTCATATCCAGCGGGTGAAAAGCATCTCCAGCACAAACTATACATGTATAAATCTATATATATACATATATAAATATATATATAATCAATTATATATATATATTATGTATACATATACATGTATATACATATAATCCTTTCCCGCTGATATTCCATACGTGCCAAATGAAGCTTCCTGGTTGTTTCATTTCCGGATCTACAGTATTCATGAATTGCGGTCGTACGTCTTGTTGTGATTCACAGTGCCACACTGGCATCATGGTGAAATACCCACCAATTCACAGTAAATTTCATTTACAACCTTAGTCCCATGAGTTTTTTACCCACCAATTCACAGAAAAAAATCCAATTATATCCAATTATACGTAATCCATATGACTTATAGATGATTATCCGATATTTACAGCCCAGCTTCAGACATGTTTATCTGAAGGTCTGCGTTTTTTCGTTGAATGTCATCATAGAGCGCCACAGCAGCCGTCACTGCCATCATCATGACCTTGGAGGGTGCAGGAGTGAGGTGCTTTTTGTGGTTTTTGGATGGGAAATTATAGGACCATGGGAAAATATGGGATCATCATCTATACCATCTGGTTATTTATTTAACATAACTATGGAAAGATCCACCCATTTCTAAGAACGGTAAACCATCGAACTAAATGGGCCATCTATACCATGGCTATGTTAGTCATAACCAGAGGGTAAATGGTTGATACTTGCTGATACTTGGTGGTGAAGTTGGGATCCAAAGACAAAAACATGGTGATTTCACCATTTCACCCGATAAAAAGTTGGGGTTTTTGGTACAACCACTTTTTAAAATTGTGGCCCATGAAAACACGCTTTTGAAAGTCGAACTGCACCCCTAGCCTGGTACAGTATGCCTGTGGAAGTGAAATGCCGGGTTTGTCCCTTGCACGAAGTTTGTTGTGCAAGGGGTTGAGAGTTCCGCGGCGCTGAATGCCGTTGGACTGACTCCAACTTTTGGCTCCATTTTGGTGGACCGAAAATCCGCAAGTCGACGATGAGTTATGCGTTTCGAGGGGTTTTCGTCCAGGTGACTCCTTTTCCAAAAGTTCAAGCACGCCCAAAATGGTGATTTTCTAATGGAAAAGATTGTCATCAACCATCCAAAATAATGAGGTACACCATTTTTTGACGGCCAGCCATCTTACTCGATGTGGTGGACTTGGAACTTGCCATAATGTGCCAAGACACCAAAAGGCCCAGGGTAGAGAAGGCTCGAATGGTGCCCACATAAAGAGGCGTAGTCTCACCCAAGTACATCACTATGGAGATAAACAAGAAATACACATTTCCTCAGCTGCACAGGATCAAAAATTGTTAAAATTCCAACTGGGAAAAATTATATGGAGCACTTGAGGTTTAACTGTCAGAAAAAGTAATACAGTAGAGTTCTCCTCTGCAAGGCGGAAAAAACGGAAGACCACCAACACCCGATTAGTGCTGATGTAAAACATGCACCAACACCAAGATTCCGAATTTGTGCAGCTGTTCGAAGAGATTCTTCGGCAGGAAAGTGAACCATGTGTATTTCGATGTCTTCACCTGGCACCAGTAGACTAGAAATCCACTTGAAGTGGCATAAAGAGATGTTTTTGATCTGCCGCCGTGTTGAATAAAATATGATAAATCACAAACCGGAAAAGTCTTGCCATTTGGGATAGCTAACCCCCTTGTTTACACCATCATTCCAGTGACATCGCAGGTACTTATGATTTATCCGGATTATGATTATAGTTCATCCTAATTGTTGGTTATATCAAAATAAGATCCGACTATCATCCTCATCATACCCAATTTGGTTGTTTAAATGTTTTTTTTATAGCATTAGAATCCACTACAAACATCATTTATGGACCTTTTTTTCGGGAACCAGCAGCTTGGCCTCATTTGAACAGAAGTCCTCCTCAAGGTCTTCCAGTCTCCCGCGGTTCAAGCAGATCCGCCGATCGCCCATGGCGGTCGTGGTTGAAACACCTTTGGTTTCCCAACGGACTGCTGTTCAAACTTCACCCGAACATGGGGCACAAATGACATCCGATGATTTTGCGGCTGGGGAACGGTTGGGGGTTGGAGTATGTTGGATCTTTGGGATGATGAAGCCCTGATTTTGGCTTCTGTGTGACTTGATGGCGCCACCAGGTCCCCACAAGAAGCCCACAGCAAGGGCACAAGGGCACAGCGTTCACTGGCTTTCCCGGGCAAGGCCAAGAAAAAAAAGATTGAAGCGTCGAATTTTAAGCAACCATGATGTGGATTTTAAGATATTTTAAGCATCAAAAATTCTGGATTTAACCAATGAATACCAATGAATGATGAACAATACCTTGATTTGTGTCTGCAAATGTCACAAAACGCAGTCTCAACAGTCGGGTTTCCCATCAGATCCCATCTATCACTGCCTTTGGGAGCTTTTCCTCTCCGAACTGCAGTCCACTCTACCTGTCGGTTGAGAGATATCATTGGCCTCTTGTGGGCATCAAAGGATATGACACATAGAGTACAGATGCGGCAAAACAGCGAATCTCAGCTGTTCTGGCTGCAAAAGGCGTTGGATCCTGATCACTTGGAAGCGTCAGCGCAGCTCTCACAGAATGTGCCACCGGCCGGACACACTGCACTTTCGCCTTCCCTAGTCCGAGCAAAATTTCAAGGCATCAATCCTATGGCAAGCCTTCGTTGCCGAGCACTCAAGTGGAAACAGTGGATCCTTCCACTTTCCATGTTCCGCAATCTTTGTATGCGTGGTTTTATTTGATTGTTAAGTGGAAGGAGAGAAGATATGCAAATCTACTACACCAGTGAGCTGGAGTCAGTTACTTCTTTCCCAAGTCAGCTTGTAAGGCTGCATGCTCACATGTTGCAAGCAAAAACCTTCAATATCTGCTACCTATCAAGTTGGACGGCAGCCATTTCGCGGGTGGTCCCTTTTTTGGAATGTTGCAACCCATCAAACACATCGATGTTGAGCATGGAGTCGCTGAAAGCCCAAGAATGACACAGATTGAAAGATTGAAACTGCTCAATGCGACACTCACAGCTGGGACAACAAAGATATTGAGAGCTGACACTTCACTTCACTTTGGGATCGCCGGCACAAGTTGCTTCACTGTGGCAAAAATTATGGCAATTTTCTATGTCTGAAAATAGAGTACCCCAACTGGTTCCTCATCATTCTCGATGAGTAATGGTCCCCATTATTCTGGCATCATTCTATGGCCATAATCTGGGGATAAATCCCCTGTCACAGAAACTTGCTTCAATCCCTGGATTTTATGACAACTTCCACCTACCAAAAACCCCCGAAATCGGGTCAGTGTCATCTGAGGCACACCGGAGAAAATCTGCGTATCTTGCTCAGTCTCGACATCTGATCCACGCAAGGCTGGAGCGGCTGGAGTCTGACGCATCTCGCAGCGATTGATGCAGCTTTTGGTCTGGCTTGGTGATGAGAGCTGCAGGATGTGTCTCTCCTGTTGCAACTTGATCTGCACGATAAGTCCCAGTGTTGTTCTGGGCAGATGATGTCTCCATCTGTTCACTTAAAGGCCGCACATTCGAGCAAGCGTTTATGCAAAGGTCTTGAACGTCGACGCACAGCTTTCACTGTGCAGTCCGACTCAAGAAAGTCTCCCCTGCGGACCGATGGAGGTCGCTAGGTCGACGTGTTGCTCTCAGAAAAAAATGCCCAATGCACCATTGGCACAAAAAGATGGATTGATTCGACCTGTGTGTTTTCTTTCCCAAAAAAAGAACCTGGTTCACAAGCGGCTCTTCCAGTGTCGGCGGGACATGTTTCCCTTCTTCACATACTTTGAATGTCTGCAGGCTTTAGGAATGGGTACAGTCAGGCGCACTCGCTTGCCCGTGTTATGAAGAGGAAAGAAAAGTGGATACCTTCAAGCAGAATATGGCAACAGTCTTGGTCCCTGTTTCTGGCAAAGACCTAGGTTTGTCAATTTATGCTGGTTTCTGTAACTTTTTGCTATGGAAATGGAAAAAATGGGTGGCTATGTCAGTTTGAAATACTCCAAGCACATCAGGAACCTTTTGTCCGGCCTAGCTCCTGCAACAAGTCTAGAAACTCTGTTTTGGAACATGTCGGTTGCGCGTTTTTGGGGCCCGCTACGCCCTTGGTCCATTTGAAAACGTCCAGTCTGATGCCAAGGATGTCAAGGTGGATCTGTTATCCGTATTTTGCTGAGGTCGGACATCAGACTTGACAGGGAGTTTAAGGGACCGCCTTTGTTTTTCTACAAGTATAGTATAGATCAAAATAATGGCCTATCTTCCACCGTTTTACCAAAGTGTCTACCCACGTGATTGGTTCGAAGCAAGGATCTGCGCTTCATGATTCTTGCAGCGGGCCTTCTTCAACTAGCTCGAACAACAAACTACAATGTAGGAGTTGTAAGTGAATCAACTGCTCTTTCTCAGCCGCAAGACTTGCTGTATTCCTCAGCTGCAGGTGGCTTGGCGTTGCTTGGGAGAAAATTTTGGCGCAGTCACTGGCATGAAACGTTTGAAGTTTAGGACCTTCTGATTCTGAAGGCCGTGCGTCTGCATGAGGTTAAGGCAGTTAAGGCATTTTGAAGCATGGCCCTTTCAAGGATGCTGCTGTTGTCGCTAGTACCGCCCCTGGCCTCGTCCTTGCGGTGGAAACTGTGGTGACGTCCAGCTGCAAACTTCGGCTGGACATCAGTGCTGCAAAGGCATCAGAGCCAGGACTTCCTCCCTCAACGAAGCCCTCTTTTCAACACCCAGCAATACCCAGCAGACCCAGTCAGGAACAGCAGTGGGGAGGCCAGACTCGGTGGAATATGCTAGGCTGCCACTGGAGTTTCAGAGCGGTATAGGTTAGTCCTACATCCTGTTTACTTGGATTAGTCCATCAGATTCAGGCCATGTCTTTACACCGTGCGCCTGCGATTTTCTCCTCTCGGGAGCAAGTTTCACTTGCTCCAATAAAATGGGCATCCAGCATTCACCCTGTGCTGTGAAAAGAATTGCTATAATGGATTGCCATAATCTCCAGTATATTGGGTAGTCTAAGCCCTTATAGTCATCCAACAGGGATTTTGACCTCTGCTCAAATTTTCAACCGGTTTTTGGCATCTTCCATGGAACCTCGTTCCTTCTGTCGCAACAGCCATGGCCTTGGCTCACCCATGCTGTGTTTCAGTGGCAATGTCGTGGTGTCAACCCATGCCGCACAGCTGGTGTTGCACGGGCATACCAAAACTAGTGCCATGGATTTGAGAGATTGCGGCTGTCAATCTGCCAATGCTAGGTCTGTCATGCATGGGGTTTTGGTTCCTGTTGTACTTCAAGATTGTTTCGGACCAAAGTCCAATGTCTCGCCCAACTGGCATGGCTCACTGTGGCCTCAACCGCTTCGACTCCGGCAGGTCAGCAGCCAGCAGCCCACCCAGCGGCAACTCTCTGGATCAGCTGGGAATCGACGTCGTCATGGCTCAGCCAGGCGCTGAAGAACTTGGGACAAAACCCAGACTATGTCACGAGGACAGCTTGAAAGCATTCCGAAGCTTCCATACAGGAGTGGAACTCCTGCGTTTGTCGACCTGCTTGTGTCAGTATTTTGGCTTCGGGCCCGGGGCACACAGATGAACTCGACATTATTTTAGTATTCCAAC